AATCTGCCACAAAGTATTAAAAACTTGGGCAATGATACTAAAAAGTTTAAATCAGAGTTAAAGAATTATCTACATGCTCATTCCTTCTACTCTTTAGATGAATACTTCAATGTAAATAGAGAATGATGTAAAATTAAGTTATATTAATTTTTAAGCTAAAATTGCCTGTACTTATGTATGTAACCTTTTGACTTGTTCTGTATCCAAAGGTACTAACCTGCTTAGGATTTATAGAATGTAAATAAATTCAATTCAATTCAATCCCACATCTAACACAGGGCAGATCAATACTGAATGTAGGACAAGATATGAATGAGCTCCAAAACACGACTTCAAATAATATAGGAGTGGTAGAGCAATACTTTGAGACAAATAATTTGTTTATAAATCCATCTAAAACTCACTATATTCTCTTCCAGACAAAGCAATGCAGGCAGGAAAGTAATCTAAAAATCCTAATAAAGAACAGGGAAATATCAAATGTAAAATGCACAAATTTCCTGAGGGTAGTAACAGATAGTACCTTGAGCTGGGAATTACCTATTGAAAAAACCTGCAGTAGAATTTGCTGTAACCTGTTCATAATTAACAGGCTATCTCAAATACTCGATTTAAATGAAAGCAGAATGTTGTATTAAGGTTTGATCTATCCTAATCTATCTTATGGAATAAAAGTTTGGGGACATAGTGCTAAGACCCTCACTAGAAGATTTTTTGTACTCCAAAAAAGGACAGTAAGATACATTGCAGGGCTAAAACATCTGGAATCGTGCAGGGATAGCTTTAGAAATCTAAAGATACTAACAGTATACTCGCTATATATACATGAAACGATCCTATATGTAAAAAAAAATGTGTAACTGCACAGTGAATGAACAAATACATACATATAACACAAGAAATAATAAAGACTATCATATATATGGGCACAACTTAGAACTTTATAATAGTAATCCTTCAGTAGCTGGCTGTATCTTTTGCAACAAATTTCCTAACAACATAAACGAAATAGAGAACAAAAATCAGCTCACAAGGACATTGAAGAAGTTACTTATTCGGAGGTGATATTACTCAACAGAGGCCTATTTGAACGATGAATTCTCGAATATTGGCCACTGATATAAGCAGAAGTATACAGTATATAATGTATAAAATGTTCTATATCTTATATAATTTTTAGTATTAAGACTGTTGTAATTTAATAATGTATATTAGCTGAAAGACTTGTCCTATATCACTGTATCATGATCTACAGGATTATTAAAAGAATGAATGATGAATGAGTAAAATTCTTGTCTGTGCACACAAGCACAAAACACTCACCATCCCTTTTGTCACAGCAGGAAATGTTTCTTCAGCTCTCTGCAGCAAAATTCTCGGCATTCCTGCTGCAAGAGAATGCAGAATATTTCATAACCTTAAATCTTTATTTTATCACATATTATGCTTTGTGGGTGACAAATGAATTGATTTAAAAGAATCCTGGTGATATACATATATATTTCTAACAAGTGTACCAGAATCTAGCTCTGAATATTTGCCATGTCTGTAAGCAAACATACTAATTATTGGAAACAAACGCACACTTATGTGGCTGTCTTAGTTCTCACAGCTGAGGCCGGCAGAGATTATGAAGCTTGGTGTTTTCTTACGCGTTGTGTAGATTGTTGCTCAGTTTCGATTGCAGAGTTCACCAATTTAGAGTGAGCCTCTTGCTTCCAAAACGTCGGTAACTGGCTACCAGACTGCACGGAGTTACGTCCTAGAAACAGTAAATCTACTCTACAAATTTACATCGCAGGACCGCAAAAATGCATTTGTATGCCCTACATACATACGACGCACCATCAGCTCTCACAACTTCCTTTACAAGTCGGACTGGTATGTGTAACAGGCGATAAAGGGCATAAAACAATAAAAATGTGCATTCTACTATAAACATGACCCTCAGAATTTCAGAATGTTTGCTGCGAAGTTTAGCAGCATCCCAACTAGAACTTGCAACAGTGGAATAATATCACGAACACCATAATTTGTCAAAATATGAGGAAACTGAATTTCTCTCGAATGATACTACTGGTTCCCTAAAGCTTTTGATTCTGTGACTGGCGGCGCGACCCCCTGGCGGGGGGGGAGAAGGGCTTGAAAGGGGGACCGGCATACTTTCCTACAGATAAAAGTTAAAACTGCCCTAAATCAATTAGAAAAGTAAAAAAATAAAAAATAAAAATACATATAAAAAAACTTTTGATGAGTACAGGCTATAATTATCTTGAATTTCAAAATAGCTAATAAACAATTCAAAATAGCTAATAATTATTCTCTTTACCGGCAATTGTAAAACGCGTATGCCTGAGACAGCGTTGATAGTTCGGCAGCAGCCGCATCCTCTTCCAAGCAGCACTGTACACAAGCAAATGAAAGCAGCCACTTATTGAATTGAATTGAATTGAATTTATTTACATTCTATAAATCCTAAGCAGGTTAGTACCTTTGGATACAGAACAAGTCAAAAGGTTACATACATAAGTACAGGCAATTTTAGCTTAAAAATTAATATAACTTAATTTTACATCATTCTCTATTTACATTGAAGTATTCATCTAAAGAGTAGAAGGAATGAGCATGTAGATAATTCTTTAACTCTGATTTAAACTTTTTAGTATCATTGCCCAAGTTTTTAATACTTTGTGGCAGATTGTTGAACACTTTTATGCCAGTAAAGTAGACTCCTTTTTGATATACTGATAAAGTTGATGAGGGTAGGTGGAAGTTATATTTTTGTCTAGTATTCATGTTATAGACATCAGAATTTAATTTGAATTTATCTTTGTTGTAAACAACAAATAAGAGAAGCGATAATATGTATTGCGATTGAAGAGGTAGAATTTTTAATTTCTTAAATAATTCTCTACATGAATCTCTACTTCTACATCCTGTAATGATTCTAATTATATTCTTTTGTATTTTAAAAATTATTACACTATGTGAAGAGTTCCCCCAAAATATTAATCCATAGTTCATAATAGAATGAAAGTAGGCATGGTAAACCATCTTCAATGTTTCCTGTGACATAAAAGGCTTAATTGATCTCATCGCATAGCAAGCTGCATTTAATTTAGGTATAATTTGTTCAATATGTATTTTCCAAGACAGTGTACTGTCTACATGTATTCCAAGGAATTTTGTATCAAGTACTTTACAGATTAATTTGTTGGCATAACTGATGTCCAGATCAATTTGGTGGTTGTTTTTAGTTGTGAATGATATGTAATTGGTTTTATCAAAATTTAATGAGAGTAAATTGGCTTCGAACCATCTGTTTAAGGCTTCAAATACAATATTTATGTAATTTTTAAGTTGTCAAATTTAGAGTTCTTAAATATTATACTAGTGTCATCTGCATATAGAATTGGTTTAGATGTATTGTTGATATGAAACGTAATAAATGAAAGAGACATCTTGAAACCAAACATTCGAAGTTTACAAATAAACCAAAGAATGTTTTTTGTCAGAAAGCTTAGTGGTTTAAAGTCCACCCATCAGAAATTTGATAAACCAACAAATGTGACGTCTAAGGCCCTTTTAGCCTCTTACCTGGCTCCTCATAGAATTGCTAAATGCAGGAAACTGCACACTATTGCAGAAACACTGATTCTACCAGCAGCGATTGACATAGTATCAACAATGTTCGGTGACTCTTCTGCTCGACAATTGAAAAATATCCCCTTCTCTAATGACACAGTTTGTAGAAGAATTTCAGACATTTCTGACGATTTACGTCAGCTTTTAATTGAGAAGTTGCGTAACAAGTGCTTTGCACTTCAAGTGGACGAAGCGACTGATATTTATAAAGATGCTCATTTGATTGCGTACGTTCGTTTTGTTGATGATTGTAACATGCGAGAGAAATTGTGTTTATGTGAGCCTATCTTGAAAACAGCAACAGCTCAAAGCCTTTTCGACATGATTAATGCTTTCTTTAATGAAAATGGGATATCATGGGATAAGTGAACTGGCATATGTACAGATGGAGCTCGTTGAATGTCTGGAGTCCGTGCTGGATTACAAGCAAAAATTAAAGCTGTTTTTCCCGAAGCAGCATAGACTCACTGTATGATACAGCGGGAGGCTCTGGCAGCTGAAGAACACAGCCCACCCCTTCATGAAGCGCTGCAGACGGTTGTAAAGACCGTCAATGTTATCAAAAAAAATCCTCTGAAGTCTAGACCTTTTAAAATGCTGTGTGAGGAAATGGGTGCCGAACACACTGCTCTGTTGTTCTTTAGTGATGCTAGATGGTTTTCAAGAGGCAAGGTATTAAAGAGAATGTTTAAGCTGAGGCATGAGGTGTTCTGTTTTTTAAATGCGGAAAATCACTCACTGACAGACAGTTTCAGAAATAAGGATTTTTTATTTACCTTATTATGAGGCAACTGTATTTTCTTGGAATGACAAAGTGAAGCCATTCATGAGAACATTAGAACTCTGGAGAAACAGTATGGAAAGTGACACGCTAGATATGTTCCATACTCTGGTGTCGATGGTACAAGACTCTGATAATCCAGTGGTTCCAATGGACATAAAGAGATGCCTACTTGAGCATCTCATAATGTTGAAAGTTCATTTCGAGAGATACTTTTGCAATGATTTTGATGAATTTAATTGGATTACAAATCCATTCTAAAATGCTCCTGGGCCATCATCTCGGGAGAAGTTGTGGAAGCAGATACTATCGTTACTACTCACAGATCTCGACCAATCAGAATCTACACAAACCAATTTGAATTCCCGCAATTATATGCGGTTATAATTGTTCATTGTTTGCCAAATGGTAAGTATGAATTTTGATTTGATGTGGTTGCAAACGGAAGTTGACATTTGAGAACGAATTTACATCTACATGTTAAACATATTATATGTGTATATGAATGTAAAGCTTACTACCACAGATGAAATTATAAATATATAGAATTCTTTCAAGCTCAACTTTTTGAGGTTATGATGAACTGTATACAATACTTGAGGTTGAATGAAAATAGAACCGGGATGGTTTTCCCCTTTTAATTCATAGACATAAATTATGAAAATATACCGAGTGATGTATATAGTCTGTGTTCCATCTAAGACCTACGAACATATTACAGTAGTTTAAATGGCATGCGTTAAAATAAAGTCACACATGCATTACGAGTACTTATCTTTAGAATATTTTCCAGATGTTTTCATTGCTTTCTAAAGTCACTGATCTTCTATCTGCGGGGGCTGCACAAGACTGGGAATCTGCAAGTCGACGTCCTTCCTTTAGCCATTGTTTTACATAATATTCTGCATCAAAAGCACTAAGAGGGGGTCCCACTGATGAAATAAACATTAAACTAGATGCTGTTTTTAAAAGCATCGAGCTTCGGATGGTTGGAATAATGTTGTTCATGTTGCTGAATGCACGCTCACACTCTGAGTTGAAACAATAATAATATTTGCAGCTGCAATCAACGGCTTTAGTTCATCAGGACACATGTCGTCACCATTCATTATATTAATGTACTATTCATGGAATCCATGAACTGAAGTTTTCTTACACACCATAAATGACTCAGCGAGCTCCATAATCTTTTTATCAGCAAAACATGGATCTTGACATTATACCCACTTAGCCTTATCCATTATTTTCAAGTTGTCCAGTAACTGATTGTATTTGTCCCTGTTTGACCATGATGTGTTACTACTTCCAGTCGATTCGTCTGAAGCTCTAGTGGTGCACATTCGGGTGTTTATATTGTCACTCAATTTCTGAAAGAATTGTTGTTCACTAATCTTCTGCACTTTTCCATGTTCTAAGCTAACTCCTTTAAATTCTAATTTATCAGCAGCCGTTAGAACTTCAGAATAATATTCACCTGGATTATTTGCCATGGACTGAAAGGCGTGATACTTAACAAGAATTAATGATGTGCTTCAGGCAATGTGATTTTCTTTTCTTGTAAATTTAAAGAGTGTTCAAGTTCTGTTAAAGCATCGAAAAGAAGTCCCATATTTAGAACAAAGTTTACGTCGCTTAGTTTTCTTTTCAATTCAGAAAATTGAGCTCTCTCCCTTCCCGTGCGTTTTGGGTCTACAGACACATTGTGAAAATGCTTATAAAGAGCAGGGTAATTATTCCATATGGCTCTCACTGACCGTGCACTATACGATACCCAAAGTGTCGTTCCTAACACTCATCCTATGGTATTTAATCTCATACTCAGTTGTGCAACAACGGTTTCTAATTCAGATTTCTTCTTTGGAGACGCGCTGTAAACGGAATAGAGTTTATCAAAAAATGATTGCATTTAGCACACTGTTGACATTTCTCGTACTGTATCATTCACCGCTATTTCTAATCAATGATTACTACAATGCCAGACAATCAATTGAGGATTCATTTGGAGCAAAACTGTGAAACACCTGCATGGCTTCCAAGTAAATTAGAGGCCCCATCACAAGCAAATGAAATCCAATTTCCTGATAAAAAGTCACTGTGAAATCCGTTACTCTTGATATTGTTGAGAAAGGCGTCCCTGATCGTTGCAGCTGTAGTATTTTCAAATTCCACTATATAAAAATGTAACTACTCGCATCCATGGAATCAGGCAGTTTGCAACGTAAACAGATTACAAGAGCTTCTTTTTTACTTCGAGTAGAAGTCTCATCGATCATGAAACCTATCTTAAGATCATTATCAATAATATATTTAACAAGTTTCTTTCTCATTTCATCTGGTACATGATCACAAATATCAGTGCACGCATGATTAGACTGCAAGATACGCCCCATAGCTAAACCATTTATTTCTTGTAAATCAATCAAAGCTGCTAAATCTGTCATGGGACGGTTCACTTTCGCTATTTGATAAGCTGTCCTAAATATGCGACAAGTTGAAACGTATTGTTTTTCTTGTGTTTTAACATTTAGACATTCAGTTGTTTCTTTTTTAGCAAGGCATAAAATGTCACTAGGTTTAACATGAGCTGCCGATAGTTTATGACAAGACAGTTTCTTCCTAATCGACTGTTGTCTCTTCTCCTTCATTTCACCATATTCCTTGAC